ATATATATATATATATATATATATATATATATATATATGAATGCATTTTGTGGTTTAGACGAACCGTTTGCATTTGATGACAGATGACAGACATGCAATGTGATACATCAAAGATGGATTTCGCATGCAATTGAAGTATGTTATTGGTGAAAGAATGCCGATTAAAGAATTAACTGAATACAGAATTTTAAATGTAAAATTCAGCTAAACTCACTTTGATGAGGTTTCTATCGCTTAACATATTTTTTTACGTGTCATTCAAATCTGTCAAAAAAAAAAAAAATAGTGCGCATACCGGCCGAAACAAAGTTGTTGTCCTCATCCGACTGAATTTCAGTGGATGTCAAACAAACCAGCCGAAATTGCTAATAATAGAAACATCACTAGCAGTGACAATTTTTGTTCAATTGATACTATCGTCATTGAGGGCAGTTTTGAATTTTGCGAAATTTTATTCAGCTGGAATTCCACTCATTTCGAAATGAACTAACCTTTGCGGGATCTTTTCTTCTCTTTTAAATTTATCAGCATCTTTATTACCTTCATGAAATTGTGGATCCTTCTTTCTTTTATTCTTTTTTTCCCTTACTTCTCGTTAGTTGTTGTTAACCTCATTATGTTTTGGAGATAGAATAAAAAAGGAAACAAAAACAATAAAAAAAAAACATGGAATGACCCTATCTGCTACTGTTACAATTTACTCCATAGTTACTAGTTCTTAATATTTCTATTTTCTAGTTACTAGTCTAAGTTATTATATTACTTACGTCTACGAGTTACGATTTTTTTACTGGTTCTTAGTTTTGCTGCAATTGGAACTTTAACAAGGAATGTACTATTTCCTATTTCGTCTTTTTTCTCTGAAAGTTGTGGTTTTCTCTTTTAGTTGACTCGGAAGTGGAAGAAAAGATTTCCTCCTGAGTCATAATTTGATAAAGTAAACATTTTATTAAATGCATAATATGTATATGGTATATGACATCATTCATAACAATCAGGTGACAAATGTGAAAATGAAATTAGTGGTTGTGATCGGATTTCTGTCGATTGTAAAAGCCGAACCTGCCATATGTTGCATAGAAAAATGAAATTGCGACAATCTGAAATTGTAAAATTTGAATTTCTAAAATTCAAAAAGGTCGAATATATGTCGCTAATTACTAAACTTTGTTTCTAATATGATTTGATAGCAAATTTTCACTAAAAGTCACCGTTCAATTTTACAGAAATTTGATGAGAAAACTAACAAAGATAATATTCAATAAAGCTATGATAGTTGTTGTCCACGGGAAACCAATCCACTGGACACATAGACCACCAACTGTCGGTCCAAAAAACGATCTGAAATGGAATTTTGGTCTGAGATATTTTCATCATTTTAAAGCCTTCCATGAAAACATACGATACTTTTTTACTTACCCGAAGGAATAGGCAGATTGAAATAAACCTGATAAACAACCGTATGTTTGCAGCGATTCATTGTACCCATATTCGCTGTAATGAAATTTTTACACTAAAGAGCATAAATTCAGAAAATTAAGCTACTGAAATAAAAAACGTTTTCCTTCCCGAAAAATCCAGGTATTTCAGTGCGACACATTTCCTAACAGTGATGGAAGTTGGAATGCGAGGGTGTAATTAGTCATGAAAATACTCGAAAGTTAGGATAAATGTGTAATTGGTGATGAAAATATTCAAAAGTTAGAATAAATTTGGAAATTTTAGGTGTTATTTATTGATATGCGAAATTCGACGATAGAATAAGCCCTATAAACTTCACCATTCAAACTTTTAATTGAAACGACAAATTACCGTAGTGCATTAATTGATATTTGGAAAGTTGGAATGTACAAAGCACTAGCAGCAATACCAAGTATGCCTAACGCAACTTCTATCCAGCCCAAGTTTCTGCAAAACATGAAATTATGCAAACACAAATAAAGGGAGATTTCTTGAAAAATCAATAAAAATGCAAGATGTCGATGTTTGGAAAAGAAAATTGCTCAAACAATCAATTTATCTTTGGGAATTTCGTGCCCACAAAGCAAAATCGGCTCTTCACTTCCATTATTAACTTTAAATGAAAAAGAATGTTATAATTTCCCGATGGATTCCCAGACAAAAAATGTTCGAGCAGATTGCATCATCGAGACGTTATATAGGAGGATATTTGTTATTTGCAGAGCTAATTATTGAATGATTTGAATGAATAGAGCAACAGTAACATTGAATAGATCTTTTTATCACATATTAAATTAACCCTAGAAATGCAAATTAGTAAGCAGAAATGTGATCTTATCAATCTATTCTAATCGAGCTTCAGAAGGGAATGTATTATTCATGACCAAAACTTACTTCTCGACATTTAAAAAAGGTGATGGTCCAATGACACTCATGCTAATTACAACTGCCACAATACCAAACATTATAATCGTTTTGCTACAGTTAAATTTATCGATAAGTATACTCCAGAAAGGTGCTGTTATCGTATAAATTCCACCAGATAATAAGAACATTAAGCCAATAATGGATGGTGAAAGTTTGAACTGTAAGATGAGTTTGGATAGTTCTTGTAAGATTTACTTATTTGAAAAGAAACCTAAAGTACATTCTTTTCAGGTTTTCATGGTAGTTTCTCAGAGATTTGCATATATTAAACCAATCTTTAGTAGTTCGTATTGTCTTGATGCATATTCAGGAACCTAACTAAAGCATATTGAGATCAGAGCAATTACTAGTGCGAAAGTCTTTTTCAATTTATTAGCAACAAATTGATAAGTTATCTTAATACAACTGATAAAAATATTACTGATTTTCGTTTGTCTTATAATGATGTTTAAATTATGGAAAAATAGTTGACAAAAAATCGAATCAATTAAATGAATGAATATTATTTTAATTAATACAGTTTCAGAGACGATCAGAAGAAAATGACTTGATTAAAGATATTTTGAATGAAAACCTAATTTTTTAATATGAAATTGCAATATAACTGGTCATGCCATCGATATAAATATTAATCTTTGTTTTTCCAACAGTCATAAATCCTAAAGAACGTGCCAAAAGCATATACCGATTCTAAATGATCTGCTAATGTTGGATCGAGAAAAGACAATGATACGGCACATATGATCACCGCATGTATCATAATCCATAATACTGGTATCTTCAACATGCCTAACATATCTTTACCATCCAGCATCACATCATCTATGAAATAATAATGATACTTTAGTTAATTAATGAAATATATTCCTTCGATTCGAATTTATTTAACTGATGAATGTTTTCTTCAAAACGATAATTTTGATTTAATTAATATACCTTAATTAAACAATAGAAAAAATCATACCATCCATATTTTCGACCAGAAAATATGCTAGTAATCCAAGTAAGAGTAAAATAATTCCTAATACAATGAATGGCAATTGGAAACCACCAATTTCATACAGTATACCACCGAATAGAGGGCCTACTGTACTGCCAAGGCCTACGAATGTTTCCAATACACCCTCAAAAATTTTGATTTTATGGATATCTACAAGATAATTATTCAGATTTGTTCAGAATAATTGTTCCGAATGAACCCAAGTTCATTCAATTATTTGAAAATTAAAGAACTCCGCTGATCGCAAAAAGAAAGCAAACGATGGAAGGAATTCATTTTTGAAGGCATGCTTAACACATCATATACTATCTACGTGGATCAGTATGGCATTGAAATGCCTTTATCTATTTTTATTTTATTTACAATTATTCTTTATTATTTATTTTTTCTTTGTTTGGAAATTTATATTATTCTCTTTTCAAATTATAAAATGGAATCAAAATCGGGAGACGGGAGAATGCGCTTTTTAGCTGTTGTTTAGAAAATCATGAATCCTTCCGAATTATCGTAAACGGATAACGAATGAATCATTAGAAGGTATGATTTTTGTTTTCTTATGCTTGAAAATTTAAAACTCGTAGACATTTTCATAATTTTAAAATGAACCAAACAAAAAAAAGAAGAAAAAATAGAAATCCGTACGACAACAACTGCAATTCGTCCCGGAAAACATTTAGCACCAATTGCAAATGACGACGTGACAAAAGCTGCATCACCGAGGGCTTCCAATATGCGAAGACCAATCGAGGACCAATAAAATAATGATGACGATTCAATGTAATTTAGGAATCTAAAAATAACATCAGAGTGAATAGAGATACTTGTAATTTAAGTCATAAGTTTTACAATTTCTTAAGTAAAAATTAGAAGTCTTTGGGATAAAAGAACACACCCAAAGAGTACAACAGTGATGCCAGTTACTCCGATTCCAGAAACGAACATTCTCTTTGAACCAACTAAAATCATCTGAAAATGTCGTATTATTCTTCGGTTCGTGAAAAATAAAATTTGCTTAAGAAGACAAAGAGTTGCAACCCAATCTTTCATTTGATGCAATTTTACCTTAAAGCTTCTAGAAATATGTTTTGCTACCTGCAAGGCAAAATTATTAAGCAGTTTGTGGTCTAGACTTATTTCTTGCAAGGTAAATCTAAATTAAAAATGCAAGTTAGACGAACATATTTGCCGAATATCGGTGCGACGAAAAACATTATCAGTTCAAAGACACCAAATACTATACCTATCTCGAAACTTCTTAAACCTTTGATTTTCGCCTGAAATTATGATTAATCTTTCAAAATTTCACAACTGTCTCGTTGTTTTTCAGTTCTTTTTTTTGAAAATGATTTACTGGACGATCGATTAATAGCAAAATAAAACTATGATAAGTATATCCATTTGAATTAACTGTCACGCAGAAAAATTCATGATTCTTTATCGTGTCGACATAAATTTATAATTATGTCGAAAGGCGCAATTATTTTATCCTACTTAAATAAAGCTAACCTCATTTGAATAAAAGGGTGCTATACAACTGTAAGCACTGGTACTCCCAAGATTTGCCATTGACAGCATACAAATTGTCATCCATTCTTTGGTAGTCAGTGACAATAATTCGGTAGATGTAGTTTCATAACTATTCGTTTTACAGTTGCTATAGCTTTTGCGTTTAATAATTCCTTCGCCCAAACTGAAGTAGTCATTAAACAAACAAATCTTAAGTTGAACTTATATATTCTAAATTACCTTCAAGTCAAAAGATAGTCATATTCAGAATAAATTTGCAAAAACTTAGGTGTTTAATATTTTGCTTTACAAAAAAAAAGAAAAAAAACTGAATTTACGGTTTGATATTTTACTTTTGAAAATCACTTTAAAT